AAAGACAGACGAGCAGTGTTCCTTCTGTTGGTGGAGATGGTATGATCGATCAAGTATCGAAAGCTCTTGAGTTAGGGTTGTTGATGCAGAAGATTGTAGGTGCATTGTTCATGGATTGCAGCATCTATGCTGTGGTGCTCGTATGTGGTCTTTCCACGGCACAAAGACTCGGATGGTAAAACTTCATTTCGAACTGAATGAAAATGCATGTAAGATTACTGTCTAGTTTGACCCTATTAGCTTGTTTGTAGGGTGAATTGAATAGTAATAGAAAGTAGTGAAGAAGAAATATAAGTAAAACTTTGTCGTTAAATTGTCTGGGGCTATCTAGTCTACTTACCAAACGAACATGTTTCGTTATTCCTCAATTTTGTCGTGAGCAAAGTTTTGCTCAAGTAGATATTTGTGATTTTCCGAACAAGATTTCTTTCAAGTAATTTCATTCTTGTCATATTTTTAGCATTGTAATCTTAATATTAAAGGAAGTTCCCAACAAATTTTGCTTTTGGTCAGAATAAATGTGTCTCGGCAAGGATGCGACTGTTTTAACTTTTAACAGGATTGATTCTTTATTGGCCTTGGCAATTGAGTGTCAGGCCAACTTGTGGGGCAATACTCGTGCTTCATTTTCAGCTTTTTGTTCAAAACATGTGTTCATGTGCATTAATAATTGGAGCGGTTATGGAATAGAATAACTACACAATATGAATTCTGAAATTCAACATACGACGACGACAGATGTTCCTGTAGAATAAAATTACAAGAACCTCAATGCAATTGAGCATTTAATATTAAAATAATCTTCTTACATGCAAACTGTTGATCTAATCTTAGATTAATATGTGAGCCTTCATTATCTACAAAAGTGAAGACAACTTGCTTCATTCACAAAATTATCTTGTGCACATTTTGTGCCAAGTCCATTGGACCAAACATGTCGTCTTGAAAAAGATTAGCAATTTGCTAGTCTGGTTCCTAGCACTTAGAATCTTAGACTACTGTTGTGGATAGTGGATACGTCGTACGAGGGTATGTAGGAGCAGCTGCCATACCATAATCATACACGTAGAAATATGTGATTTTTTGGGAAATATGTGATTAAAAAGTAGAAAAAGATTTTAGGTTTACGTGTAAAATATTATAGAGGAAATTACCAAAATAGTCAACTTTTGGCTTTGCATTTACAAAAATGTCACTTTTTTAAAGTCTTTGCAAAATTATCAATTTTAGACATTTTTGCCCCTCTTAAAAATTCAAATACCCTACACATCCTTGATTGACAACATAAAAAATTGTACAAAAAGTGGAAAAAATGTGACAATCTTTCATCTCATAATTGTACTTCAAAATCCTTACAATATATAAATAGCAAAAAAATTTAACTCTTAACTCTTTCATTTTTTTTTCTCTAATACGTTTCGTTGCAAAAATTTTCATTTCTCCTTTTTTCTTTTTTATGGTTCTTCTCTTAATTCTTTGAAAACTATATGGAGTGTAAATTCTTCTGTTGGGATCTCGTTCCTTACGTTAATACAGAAGGAAGAAGAATATCTTAGGTAAGGTTTCGAATATATGCATTTTTTCAATCGATTAAAGGTTTAGTTTCAAGTTTTTTACTATTGTTCCTTTTTTTCCTTGCTTTTAGATTGTTCCATCAATTTTGAGTTCCCTACTTCTAGACCGTGAGTTAGATTATTCTCTGTTTGGGTTCGACTTTGTTTGGAGAGTTCATTTACAGGTAATTTGGATTTCTCCATTTTTTTTAGGAGTTTATATTTTTTTGGTCATTTTAATTTTTTCTAAATTTTTTTGGGTGTTATATAAGATTTTTTCAAATATTTTTCTGAATAAGTATTTCACGTTCTATCAATTCTTTACTTCATATTTCTCTGAATTTGTTTGGTTTGTAGAAGCTAATTGTTGTATTACACTTGTCATTCAAACTTACCTTATTTATTATATTTTTCTAGATAAGGTACGGGTATCAAATTTTCTAAGCGAACTGTTTAATTTATCACAATTAAAGTCTGTACAGTTATGAATTCTCGACACACGAGAACTTCTCTAAAGATCAGTTATGTGACCCATCTATTGCGATAAACTGTAGTTCCCGACAGTTCATTTCAGTTATTCTTGACAGATGAGTCATCTTTCAATATGAACTGTCATTCTCAACAATTAAATGCAGTATTTCTCGAACATTATAGTTTTTTTTTTATTTCTTATATGCGTGTTTAGCATTAACATCTGAAGAATTCAAAATTTTAAATACACTCATCTAATTTTGTAATGTGCAAACTATAAATATTGAATTCATGTCCATTAGTATTGTAATTGTTGTTTTCAATTAGATGGAGGAGGCATTAAACTGTACTCGGATAATCATGAGGGTCCATTGCCTAGTGGGAACCAAGAGGTGAATGATATGTGCATTAATTATGAGGAATTCAAATTTTAAAATACTCTTATCTTATTTCGTAATTTGCAAACTAGAAATTATGAACTCATGTCGGTTAGTGTTGCAATGTTGTTTTCAAACAGATGGAGGAGTCATAGAGTTTGGAGTGTCATTCCCAGACGACGAGAAAGTTCCCTCAACTTGTAGTGCGACGGATGCGGCAA